AACACGATGGGCCTCGGCTACTAGCCTCGTAGCAGTGACGGCCACTGAGGATAGAACGACCGCAGCGACGACGCCAGGCAACGATATCCACCGACAGCAGCTACGGCAGCGCCACCAGCGGTAGCGACGGATAATAGACGTGATTTATGTGTTTAATCATTTTGATAAATAGATCGCCCTTAGAGAGGCCCACTACGAGCGCGACGCAAATAACAGCTAGAAGCTCTGCTAACAGCAAAACAACATCAACAGTTCTTTTTTATCCTTCTTTTTTATGTCGAAAACTATATACATATAATCTGCTTTTCGTTCATTGGCTCTGTTCTGTTGTCGTTCCGGCAGCGGAACGGAGGATATTTTCAGTCCGGTGTGTAGTAGCAGCGTGCAGGAACAGAGGCTGGCGGATATGAAGCCAAGAACGCGCTGACAATAAAATACATTGATGGCGCGCGCGCATTGCAGGACGGACATCGGGGTACGGGACCAGCAACACTGTAATAGTAGTAGTATTTGTGCCATAGGAAAAGCAATATCAGATGACGTTGGTAACTCCTGCTTTCGAGGTAGATGCTAGTGTTGACACGAATAAAAATAGAAGCAAAAAAAGAATGTTCGATACAAACCGTATCCTAAGGCGCCGCTGCCATAAGCAACCCGCTGAACGAGCCTGTAAAGAAACACGTGTCCTGTCTCGATGTAAACCGGAATTGCCTCGGGAATTAGGTAATTGAGGAAATAAGACCGTGGTCAGAAAGTCCAAAATAGATCAAAGAGCTGGTACTAAACGTTTAGAATTACATTTATAATAACATTCTACCGGTTAGAGATGACGATGAGAATTGCAGAATACATCGTACATAACTCTATAATTCTATGGGAACGAGCATTTACGTGTTGCTGACTCTCCGCCGTATCAGTGCACTAGCCGGCTGCTACGCACAGATTAACCTAGGGCGGGCAATGGCTAGGAGAATCTGCTTTCACTTCTATGTACCAAATACTACGTCGTATCTCGCGGGACACGTTGTGGTCAATCATAATTAAGCAGTACATACGTAACCCACAAAAAAAACTACCATTCAATAATATAGTAACCAATGCTGGGCCGGTAATAAGATAACCGAAACAAATGAGAAGTGAGCACCCGGGCGGCATCAGGAACTGCTTATACTTTTGGTCATACTTTGTCTAATTCAGTTTTACGAGAAGGCACGTCACCTGCTCGTCCTTCGAAGCAGGCACGCAATACATGCTCCACCAGTACAGCCTCTACTTCATGGCTATAATGCGCTATTGTTTTTCGCCTGTACAGAGTCGGACAACGTTCCTAACAGCGCTCTTGCGTTGGGTTACGCGAAAACCTAGCCGTCATCGTCTTCGCCGTAACTGTGTACTAATGAAATACTACGAGCCGTCGAAGAGATCGCATTATCGCATATTCATTATATCGCATCGTCACTCTTTGAAGATCTGAACATGTTTTCGAATAGTAATGTTCCGCCCATTACGTCGCTCATCATCCTCGTACGTCTCTTCTCCGTCGCCGTGTTCATCTTGTCTGTGTGTATGTTTATATACATATATTTACAGTTACGTCGATGATAAGGAAAAGTTTGTCCACTACCTTTATCAATATAGCAACTGTTGTTGCCGTTGCTGGCATCGTTATTATTATGGCTACGTCGACTACGACTACGTTTGACGGGTTTATTCGCTTAGGAGAAGATATGATAAGACAACCGTTGTAGGCAGTCCTTGGTGTCAACAGGAAATCCTCTATAGAATACACACGTATATGCACTTGATACATAACAGTATTGATAATTTTGGTTACGAACGGCGATTCAATCCAATTAATCTTTGCAGAAGCGGCTAATCGTGTCTTGCTATACTTGTTATTGCTCCCTCGTCTACTGTGTTTGTATGTATATCCGTTGCAGACGATGACGTCTCCTGTCACGCACTCATCGCTCTGCCTGTTTTAAGGTACCTATGGTCACCAGCTCATATTACTAATTCAAACTAAAAAAAAGTGGTCTTTGATCGCACCATCACGAGGTCCGTTATTAGTGACTACTGACAGGTATAGATTACCTGGATGGAAGGAAAAACATTCCGAGAAACTTGGGGTGTTCCACATGCCTTTCCGTATGAAATTACTCTGCACACGATTTTACTAGACGTGGCTTGATTTCGTGAATTCAAAGGTTACTTCTCCCAAAAACTACGAACCTATTATTTACGGATATAATTGCTGTTTGTCGTTTCGCACATTTTAGCAATTTTGTTTATCTTGTCTCAGTAAATCAACTGTGATCGAAATTATCCTAAATCAAATTGTGTCTCAGAAAACCTATTCAGGCACAACCCGTTCAGGATGGACGTGGACTTACTCCAGTTTGACGTTTCCAGTCTCCCATCCACGGAAGCCATTCTGTAAGTCGTGACGTCAAAATTTGGCCATCTTTTCTTCAAAACCAACTCGATTTTATATCGCAAATTTTTTCCTATTTATTACAATAGCAATAGAGTGTACGTGCAGAACTTCTCTGAATGATCATACATTTATTACTCGTCGACAGTTATGAGAGGTATAGAAAAAAGAGAAAAAAAAAATATATATATATATATATTGCTATAGAAAAATAGATTAGTAGGACATTGCTGAATAGCTGCGCTGGTGGCAGTAATAATAACAACGGCTGCAGCGCCATCGTAGATTAAAAGCAAACTGGTAGTTTTTATTGTAACTCACTCCCAATGCATCTTCTGACTTATCTTATTGGCGATTCATTTTTTGTTCGCCGAAATAAATTAGCAATACGTTTTTGTCCAAATAATAGCGGTTACCTTTGTCGTTGTTTGATCAGCATATTGATGGTGGTAACTGGAAAATTGATTTAAGTTTATACGTGTCAACTTTAGACTACGCGAAATTTTGGGTATTCATTAAATGCTCATAGTTCGAAGGGCATTGGGTGGTACGATATGGCACCTATTATTGATTTATTCTGTACAGAGCCTACAGATAAATTCTCTTTCCGTTTATATAACGCGACTTAAGTGTCTATTCTTTGTTGGCTGATCTGATTTTCAGGATGTTCCGTGTATGTCACTCCTAGCACTGATTTGACCTGGTCATAATACTGTAATCCGTTCTAGAACGAAGGTCTACCCGGAAAGGTTGCGAGGCCAAATGCTAAATTTCGTTTTTGACCATATCCGATGCACTTTTAGCGCGCATTTTCTTGCAATTTAGATCCACTCGAACAGTGTTTATTGCCACGGCTAACTGCGTCGCAAATGCATTGAGTACTTTCATAGTGAACCCGGAACGGCTTGAAAGAACTCGTTCGCTATTGGTTCCATCTTGAACTCCTGTAGAACGAAACTATTTTGATGTCATGGCAAGATTTACTTTGCTTCGCTGTTTCTGCCGGGCCTCTATACGCTGTTTCTGCATATTTCCAAGTGGTGTTATTGCAACCGTAGCTTTCTTTCTAAGCTTTTTGATATATTCGCTAAACCCTAATTCGGGCCGTTTGATCAACCGTAAATTATTGCTAAAATGTAAACTGTTTCCTCCGGTTTTTCCGTCGCTTCAACATCGCTTGGCCAGCCATATTTCTGTTGTATTGTCGACTACTCTATTGCTCTGATAGCAGAGAAAAAGCGAACTAAGCATTCGTTGAGGTTTACGCATATTTACCGTTGTACGTACAGGTCACCATCTACCTCATCATGTACTTGTTGTGTTAATCGTTGGGGCAGTACCGGATACAAAACTTAAAATATTTGTCTAGCAGTGTTGTTTGTATACCGCAGAGGGCTGGTTGAAGAGAGCATTAGGAGCTAAGATTCAGGTACAGAGTGTCCTTCGAAAATGTTCGATGTTTGTCTAATTAGTGTTCTGTCAATTTTATCGTTCGTTGGATTTAAAGATGTTTTGTTGGGGATATGATATACTTTGATTATTTTAAAAAAAGAGCACTGATGTGGTCTGGCTCGATTCTATTGCCAATTTCCATAATGATCCCGATAGCATTTTACGCCTTTTACCAAATGGTTTGTCTCCAAGGGGAATTTGTATTTTGCAGGTACTTCTGTTGATCACTTGTATTCGATACGTAATCATATAGAGCAAAGATAAATACTTCACGGTCATAATTGATTACCTGAGATTTCAAGTACCTAAAAAATTCAGTCCGACACAGGTTTGGCATTGTATAAAATTCCGAATTTCATACCCATACCAACCCACCTATTGGTAATTTTGCGTGAGTACTCAACAACAGTATTGCTATGAAGTAGGGATGCAACAACTGATAAAAAGCGAATTCCTGTGTACTAAATCTGGACCTAAGATCAGTAGGAACTAATTCCTTTCGTTTTTTCTACATTTGCTCTGAATCAGGTATTGTGAACTTTCTATATAATATGTCACCAACTTGCTTAACTTAAGATTATTAATGCGACATAATTAGTTATTCCTTTACGAATAGAGACCTATAATAGAGCTGGGGATTGCCCTAGAGGTCGCTAATTCGAGCCCCAGTTATAGGTATCTAATACTAGACCAGATGGGTCGTTAAACAGAGATAGCTATAGCTAGAAGTTAGACTGTGGACCAATACCATACTGATTGAGATTCATGATATGACACAATGAAAAAAGGCTCATTAGATAAACTGTATAGTATCCATGTAGTGCATGGCTTCTGACAACAGTCTATGCGTATCCGATTATATTAAAATAGGTCGATTTCTCACATTTCTGTAAATGATTTGGACCTATGGCCATCTCTAGAACTCCATAAATGACTATAGGCGAAAATGGGTAATTAGGCCATAAGGTTGTATATATAAATATTTATTTAAAAAGTTCTAAAAATGTCAAATAACAACATTCGGTCCTGTCAAGAATCCAAGCTCAGCCTATACACACATTGTTGTCTAACTGAATTAATTTGAAATCAATTTAATCGTCCGGAATGAATAGCAAAAGTAAATGAAGCCGATGCAATATTTGTGCTGACCTAAACAATGTTTAATCCAGAGATACCTTGAATAATAGCTTTAGCTCGCAGTCCTCAAAAAGTTCGATGTCATAGACCACCCCAAACGGATTGCTCCAGAGAGTTCTGTCTTCGCTGTATCCTTGACGATGAACCGAAGCTGGAAGGGATTCTTCTGCAAATCAAACAGATAAAGAGGTAGCAGACCGAAGTATAAAAACAATGTTTGTATTCTTCAAATATCTAATGCATACAATGAAATATGTGATTTACAACGCCTAACATCGTATGGTCCTCTAGTATTAGTAATGCACTAAATTAACCAAAAAGATCTGAGAAAAAATCATTTATATAGATGCATGCCCAATCAAGAGGTCACACTCACTGTATCTTGTTACACTGGATTACTACGTTATTGTTTTTTTCCGAACCAGCGCAAAAGGAGTTAGCGACAAAAATACTAACAATAATAATAATATTTAAAATACACAATCTATAGGCAGTCGCTATTTTATATTTATTAGGCTTAACAAATACACACATATTAGGTTTAATGTGCCAGCGGAACATCGTGTTTAATTTAAAAATGTGATCAGGTTTATTATGTACTTAGGGTTTGCTGTATGCATATCGAAGCGAGGCCTTACTGCAGGCCCCGTGACTTTAACTCTTGTCCCCGCGTCTGCAGAACTTGAAGACATGTGAGCTGGTTTAACTTCGAAAGCTGACGTAGTTAAACCTCGTTTCGTGCTGAGGGCCAACCGTCTAAAACAACGCCTAAAGGTAGCATTGGGCGTAGAATGCGAAACTTTTTAGATTATAGACTACTGGGACTCCAATGAAAGTATGACGCAAACAGAAAACGATCATCTCAATAAAGACGACGACAGCCGTGTAGTCTAGGCACTGACTCGAGGGTAATTTGAATTAAGACTGTCTGTGCGCTTGCCGACAGCTTGTCTGTATATTAGGAAGCTATTAATACATTGTTTTTATGCTAGATTTAGCTCAACTAAGAATATAATCAAAACAAATATACTATTTCTAGTAGGCGCTCGAATCAGAAAAACTTATTGGTAATACGAATTATAATAGTTGGTGCCATCGACCTATTGCCTACGTATTTTTTTGTCTATCGATTGGGCGGTTTGCTGGACAGCTGGAAATATCACTCAGTGCAGACTATACACACAATGTTGTATGAAGTAAGATTATCTCTTTTCATTTTTATCAATTGTTTTTCAAATCTTTATTTATTAGGTTTAGTAAAGCACTCTTCTGAAAATTTGCCCTAGCCGTTCGGAAGCGTTTATTAAATCATTTTTCAAGGATTTACCGTAAAAGATGATAAGTAAGGTAAAGTAGAGAAATCGATCATTTCTTCTACCAGATCAAATACGGAGTCGGAATGTTCAGTTAACAAGGAGGCTATGCTGGATACAAAACGAAGCTCGGATGGACGGGAACTCTCATCAGGCAGATATCTTCTTCGCGTTACATAATAGAATAGGTTGACGCGACTTGGTTCGTTAATCTGCAGCGTTGCATATTAATGCATTAGGATCTTATCCTTCCACGTGACAGCGGGCTTAGCATTCTGCATACGCACGAAAAGATCGGTATATTTACCCATAATAGATAACATGACTAAAAGATGAACATATATTGTCGATGATGTATCACTGTACTTCTTTTTTGGCCAAAGCACCTCACGTACGAAGATTTCCTAACGCATACCACAATTAGAACTAAAACAGCAAAAAGAAGAAGTGCTCGTGATGGTGACCTCTCATTGACCTCAAGGATGACTTCACAACAGCTGCAGCTGACGTATCGCGGATTTCTAGCAGTAATCATAGCTATCTTTTGCGTCAGCTTCATGCAGAAACGCCCATGTCGTTGTGACTTCCGCATAGAAAAAGAGATCTTTAAAATAAAAGCTGATTGGTCTAATACCTGTTTTAATAAGTATTGCATCACTTAGCAACAGCGCAAAACAATTCTTTCTTTTGATAGAGAAGATAGAGCTAACAAGTAGACTGAGTTGCTTCGCCATTATTTCCTCATATTTTCCATAGTGTTGATTATGATAGGAGTAAATCCGCTGCATGCTTGATAGCTTACACCATTATGCAGCACGAATAGATACGAAGCCTTTTAAAGTCGTGCCATAATAGTATCGCTCCGGTACTTGTGCTCGGGTGGATTTCATCAGCGTATAGAAAATATAAGCAGGTTTCCATATAAATGCATTAACGCTGCAATGCTTTTACCAGCGTCTGAGCTGGAATGCTTCTGTAAATGAAGTTGACTGGATGAAGACCACATGCACTTTTTGGGGATTATGTCAGGGGCAAATTAATTTGGTTGTTTCGAATTGCATGGAAGCTGCGTAGAGATGATAGCTTGCTGACTGTTTATGGACAACTAACTTTGGCCTTTGTTGTTTCGCGGAAAATTGTACTTATATAGTTTTATATTTATTTATCCCAGTGTAATATCTGCTCAGTTAAATGTATTATATAATTCACGTGCATATTCATCTCAGTGTTTATATTTGTTCCCTTTTATAGATTTAATGGGTTGAATTGTTTCAACTCTAACATGATTCAGAGGCAACAAGTTATGAAATCCTAGATTCTCTGATCCAAGTCGGCGAGAACGCGTATGAGCCGATATGAGAAGTCTGATCACACTGTTTTCAGACTGATGTGTGTTTCTCTTCCTTTGAACATCGTTTCCTTCTGCCAGACCCAATATATTACCCAGTTGTCCACTCAAAGCATCCTTTAAATTCAACGTCAGAGATGCCTTTCAGTTGTTCAGCGACTCTTCTTTGATCCAGCATAACCTTGACTTCAAACTTTTCCTTAGAGGGCCTTAAGATCTTTTCCATTAAGGTAAAAAATGTCACAGGGTGCCAAGTCAGGTGAACAAAAAGGTTAAGGCAAAAAAAATTAGTTCTAACGGCCAGGTTTGAACTGAAGAAATGTTCCTTTAGAACTCGGGCGTAACCATAGAAATACTCTTCACTGGGCGTAGGCTAAGTGTATAGCACTGGACTTACGCTTCATTCTAGGTAGTTTTACTTTCGAGAGTATAATTTGTTCATTGTTGCCGCATGGAAAAGTCTTCTTGTGACAGTAAATCGACCCAATTTAGGTCCGATTTAGCTAAAATGTATTTACCTGGCATAAATAGGATTTTTGTTCCAAATCAACTAGGAGCTTCTAGCTTCCTTTTTGTGTGAAAACTTTTGATAACCCAGGAACTTTTTGACGATCTTGGTAGACACTTACAAACTTATTAAACAAGTTGCTCGATCGAAAAAAAAAATAATAATAATACCGATCCTTTCCCAGAAGAAACAGATGGCCCGACTTCTTGCTTCGCGAATAAATTGGTGCGATCGACATACGTGCAAGACTACATCAGCGCTCTCTCTCGCTTCCTTTCACTTTCTCTCTCTCTCTCTCGCTCTCTCTCGTTCACACACAGACACATCTGCCTTTTCTTTCTGTTAAAATGAGGAACTTGAGCTTCTTCGCAGAAATCTCACTTTATCTTGTATTTCAAAGCTCTTCCCTCGACAATTTGTGGCACGCCACCTTTATCACATTAGTCCCATATATTTTATCGTTAAAAATGATGATTTTGAGTTGTGGCTTCATGAATTTCGCCGGAACGCTGATTTTCTTTAGCTGGTCATTTTTTCCACTTCGTTGTGGGAATAGATCGCATTAAAACCCACAATCTAGATACATCAATATTTTATCTCTTTTTTTCATTTTTTTCCTGTAATGTGACCCTATGCAACATAAATCCCTATGAAATGCATTTCTATATCCGTAGTGATATATTTCGTACATTTTTTGACGTACATAGCTATCGTTACAATTTATTAACTTTAGTGTGTCTACTGGCTTCAACATATTTAGTGATAAGATAAGAACGTGCCTTTGCGCGTATCTACACGATAGCTACTCTTAGCTGACTGAACAATTAAAAGAGGAACTAGGGATTAGAAAAACATCTTTAGTTGAAGAAGAATGAATTTGTTAAGCAACTAGAAAAAAAAAAACAATATTTTTGGGTCGAATATTTAATCTTTTTACTAAGTATCTGATCAACACATGTTTTATAGTCACTTGTATTTTGCCTGATATCATTGCTATCATGATTGATCTTGTGGCTAGCGGTCGCTCATTTTGAGCCGATAGTCAGGACAATTACTTGTGTCCACAGATAAGTCTGCGTTCTTATAGAACATCGTAGTTCTTTGAATAAAGCTTTAGTCAATAATTATTTGACACGTCTGATGTCCGCATGAGTCACTTAAAAAGCCAACCAACAATATTACTTCAATGCGTTCCGAGACATTAGCCGAAGATTATTGCTACCATAGCGTCTGCTTCGCTTTAAACTTCTCTCAGTCGATAACGACAGCGTCGGTTATCATTGAATTAAGGGTGCGCAGTCATCACTAGCGATTATTCCTGCTCTTTATGGCCCCGGTGTCGTGGTCGTGTTACTGGTAATGTTTTGGCGACAACTGTCCTCGTTGGCGGCGCTACTGCTGCTGATTCTAGACCCGGCCGTTCGTATCTGACTAGCTTGCACTGTTGTTGCTGCCATATATATATATCTATATATATATATATATGGCAGCAATCAACTGTTGTAAAGCTAAGATAAAAACGTAGCAGCCGAACTAGCGGCAAGACTAAGAGCACTGCTAATGATAACCAAAGCTATTTCAGGCCGAACCGATGAAGTAAATCGAATTATATATATTTCAACAGGGAGGCAGATGCAAGGCGAGCAGATAAGCAAGTAGAAAGAATCATATGGTGGCAGTAAGAACAGAAGCAGCGGCAGAAGGAGTCTGCTGACTACCTTCATTGCGGTTGTCCATACGGGACTGTCGTTGGCGGCCGCTGGCGTCGCTGTTGATGCTATGACTTCTGCTACAGTTTGCAGTCGGCTACTTAAAGCGTCCAACCGACAGCAATATATTTTGCTTACATCAGAACGATAGCAACGCCATCTCTCGATACATTATATAAGTACATTACTATTGTTGTGCGCTGTGTCGTGTGTGTTTTTGTTGTGCATAGTTTGTGAGCAAGTAACAGCATCATGCATTTATCAAGCTAGCGTTCGATATAGATATGAGTAGAGAAAGCAACTAGCGGTTCGCGAACTCACATCAGGTTCTCTATATTCGAGATTGAATTGTACGAGCAGCAACCAGAATTGTGATTTAATTCCAATAGGAATTCGAGTATTCTATCTGATAACAGCAAGCATTGTTGATTTTTCAAAGTGCTGCTGCGATTATATTAGCAAATTTTTAAAGTTACACAAAACAAGAAAGGTATAAGATCAACAAATAATAGTAAATAAAGTCGATCAACGACAGGCGTACATTAAATAATTAATAACCGTTCCAATACGAGCGGTACCAATATCCTTTTCGTTCCGTTGTGCTCGATATCCAATGAAACAATCAGAGTTGAGCACGATTCAGAAGCATACACATTCTATAAATAGTCCGCATAGATGCTATGTTATATATGGATTACAAACGACGACAAAGATCTGTAGTCGACCAATTTTATAGCATTCTCAGAAATCAATTGAATATTACACCGTGACGTCACACTAATGGCATAAAGTGCCACTTTTTGTGACAGTGCTCATAGGTACTAAGTACAGAGCCTATCGAAGGAAGCTTTGATAGCTAATGCTAATTAGGCGATCTTCTTGGAGCCTTCCTTGCATGTAGTGACGATTCCAAATTACAGAGAAACGTTCGAAGCGATAAGGATTTACTGTGGTTATTGTTGTGTGGCCATCTTGATCACACCTGGTTCTGTTTATTAATTATTACCTAACTTGTTATCTTGCGTCGTTTGTTTTCATAAAAGTGTCAAGAGCATAATTTGACAGCGACAGTCTCACATCGTTCGCTACTACTACTTTATTGGCCGTCTTTTAATTGGCCCAAGTAAATAATCAACCAACTAATTAACATGCGGAGTCACCAATCGACTGACCGGTAAGCGGAAGGACGGACACACGGAATTCAACTCCGCCGCTACTCTGTGGCCTATGGCCGGACAAAAAAATGTTTGCCAATTATAATTTTTCTTTCTACATTTGTCTCTCGTTATATTTATGATGACAGCAGCAATCTGACCGTAATTAAAAGCGTTCATTATCCGCAACGCATCATTTTCCCGCAACAGCATACCCAAAATGCGTCGCAAGTAAATATATCACATGGATAGATAAGGTGACAGATAAATAGGTAAGCGCGCAGAGTAATAAACACGCAATTGTACACAACAGTCACATAAAAATAAATCAAATTAAATCGAGCGAAACAGCGACTGAGAAGCAGAGATCTAAGGAATGAGGGCTTTCAAAAGAGTTCTATTCCACATAACAACATTAAAATTTACGGGCATCTATTTTCTTTGTAGTCATCAGTAGGTGTTTCTCTGTGAGTAGCATCAGTTACCGGCAGAAGATTTATACGCAAAACAAGTGTTAACCCACATTAACTTCATGTACATTGGCTACCTTGCGTCTCGTTGGATGACGCCTTTTCCTTTACCGTTACTGGCCTTATCGAATCGAACACGGTAGATGTCCATATTTACAAAGGAAAATAAGTCAGAAAAGGGCCAAACGTATAGTTTGTGCGAAGTCGACAAAGCAATCAATAGGATGACGAAACACAGTCATAACCATCTATACTATAGTGAAGACGTAATCATGGATCTAACAGATGAAGCCCCCCCACAACGTCCCCCCTCAAGGCGAATACAGTAAATTATTAAACGACATGGACGCGAGCGAAGGATATAAAGTGAAGGGGCAAACGATATTCTGTCTTATTCCTGTTGCTACTATGGCCACTGTTGATATGCTCGACGGACATCGGCCCAACAGGGCGAATAATTAAAACAAGACCAAATAATCAGAACAAAAAAAACTAGTACTTGTGAAGGCAATAATGCTCATTAATATAGAGGTAATCACAAGTTCAATAATAAGTTTATTCCTATAAGGGCAAAAATACTCATGGTCATACGAGCTGAAGTGGCTGCCCAGTGTCGTAATGATAATGTATTCTGCCGCTGCGTTGTTATTTTTATTTTCATTCTGCTCTATTGCCTTCTCTATTGTTATCTATTTGGAAATCAAATTGCCCCTTCGTGTGATTAGCAATTATCGTAGCTATGCGTTATAGTGAACGATGACGGAAAACGAGATGCTTCCATTAGTTTAGCTGATCGGCATTTGTAAATAAAGCAAGCTACAACTGTTATTGTGTTCAAAAAAGAAACACCAATTCGCGGTCTGGGCGATGATGAAAGTCGTAAGAAGATTATTATCGAAGCCGAAAAAATAACGATTTATGAACGCGGCCCCAGCATGTCTTCTGGTACTTATGTGTACGCATACGAGACAAGCACGAATCGAAAACAGCATTACATAGACATATGCAGGTAGGAGACCTAAAAATTCAGTGTCCTATTGAAAATTAATAATGAACTGCAAGAGCAGAGCGATTTGACGGCAGCCCTACTGTGTCTACCGGTCCGATAATAAAATCAAGTGTATTTACTGTAATATACGTAGATTCCATTCCAATGAACACATGTACGACTGTTGTAAGGACTCACAATTTCAAGAAAACGCATTAAATCAACGGGATGCACTTTGGCTAAATTTAACGGCTGTCGTAGTCACCGTGTAGTTGTCTTTTTTCTGGAATTACAGTTGACTTTTTTTCTGTAAGCCTCCGCCCCTCATGAGAAGCATCAGGGTTTGTCACAATGATTGATTACGTATAGAGATTTTGAATATGCAACTGTGGCGTAGAATGCGTATGAATATAGGAAACACATAGATTTCGGTTATAACTTACCATGTTGAACGGGATATAAATATGAGATCACTAGACAACAACTCCGATTCTATGACAATAGCGCAGAATCTAAGTCGACGAGAGGGAACTAGAAAGAGATATATTAAAGAAGAACGACGCTTGACTCAGCATAAATTTGGTCATGCCGCCATCATCGCCTAGAAGACGTATTTTTGCCTTTTAGTCTACTTGATGGTCCTCGCCACCCTAATACTAATCAGGACCACTGATGAAAGCAGCAGCACCAGCTGGCCATAGGAGGCCAATCAGTCTACATCAATAATAGCTTACCCATATGTGCCTACGTAGCCTTCGCTTCTGTGCTGGCCGCCACGGCGGCGACAAAGATGGCAGCCACAACAAATTAAGGGATCAAGAATAGGAGAACACAAAGCCAGCATTGGTATAATAAGAATGCCTTCCTTGCCTTTCACGTGTTCGTTTCATGGCTCTGATCATTTTTTTTTCACTCGTTTGATCAATCCTCACTCGACCCCGCCGGGCAGAGCGAGCATAAACAATACTCTCCTTGTCCGGCCGCTGCCAGTGTGTTGTCTCACAGCCACAGATTCCAGCCAACCGTAAGCAAACAGCTAAAATTTAAGGTTTAGTTAAGAGTTAGAAATAGAGTTATACAACATCAGCTAAAAAAAAAGGTCTATGTTATCGTAACGTAACAGCCTTCTGTAAATCAATTGTTTTTGTGTTTGACACGGATGCCAGTTTCGCTCGACACCGGAATCCTCACCTTGTGCTATCCGACTATTAATAGATAACGCTCAAGTGGTAGTAGTAGTAGGTTGCCGTACTTTAGCTGAGTTTGGACGTAACCCATTTTACATGATGATCTTGGCAGCTCATGATAAAATTCACTCGCTCTTGCCTCCCCGCAGCAACGACATCATGCGATTTAATAATACGAAACAAGCAGACCTCTCATCGTACTAGATTCACTATTATAATTAAACGATAGCGATTGTTTTGAGGATATAATTATACTACGGTCATTAATACAAGAGCCGTCACAAAGATAACAGTAATATTGCGTCGCGACACCGATGGTGCGGGTTCGCTGCGTGTGGTGCACCCATAACGTACTGTCACAAGGAGCTCAATCGACAACACTATGATGAGTTGGGTATACTGAACCTGACTCTGGAACGGGGAAGTGCCTCGAAAAACAAGGCAAGCGGAAGCAGGACGAAACGAGCATATTTAGGGGGTTTCGTTCATACGTTCTGTCGTGTTGCACCCGCAAATTGTTACATTTAAGCGACCTCCTCGCATCACAATGCCTGCTGGCCTGCCTGGCGACCTACCGCCTACGACGAGAATCTTACATTCCTGTCGTGTTTTTGTTGTTCTTGTTTCACTTGTTATTTGTAGTCATGAGCGAAATTGCCACGATGATGGCGATCTTTTACCCGCAGTTATTGACACAGTGGTATTTTCATGGACAGATTATAGAATAACAGTTCCAGCTCCGAACTGAGGCGATATCATGAAGCTAACTGCGTAGTTATGCGTAAGATTGTGTTTGTGTAATTAAGGTAATGAAATAACCTTTGTTTGTCCGTGTTGCCTGCTATTTTTTCAACATTGATATAATACATTAAATATGCTACATAGCGTGTTATGTTGCACGTATACGTGCAATGTTGGTTTTCTCTATTCGAAGTTTGGTCGTATCGGAGACGCTGCAGGCGCAACCGGGTACTGCTATGAATTTGATGTATATCATCACTTATAGTCGATACTGTGGCCGTAACTACTCGGACAGGGCTCTACTGACCATATCAGTCGCCTTAATAACTAGTTAGGAAACGAATTTAACTATTTGACGGTGTATGCACCTTCTAGCACGTGTCACTCAGGCGATCCGAATTGGATTTCTGTTGTGATCTCTTTCGCGGGACGAACAGACAAAGTTGAATCGATGTGAAAAAGGCAACATGGCCATTTGTAATTCCCAACGTATATATATATATATACATATCATCGATCATTTACGCAATAGGTCGGCAGCATATGCCTAAGTGTTGCCTAAGAAATTTTAGCCGATTATCGCTAGACAAGGTCAAGAAGCCAAATTGGAAAAACAAACTCTTCAATCATTCTACTTCTACTAGCAGCTTGTTCGTTCGCGTCATATCAATATCTAAAATTGACAATGTCAGTAGTATGGCCATTATTTTTAGCGTGTGTCATCTGCGTCGACAGTTTCGCTTCGGTATCTTCTTCTCGATTACGCCCACGTATCGCATGTAGTTATTTCCCCAACAAAATTGGACGTATGCAATTGAAAACGGGTCGGGCTGTGATCTATTTCAGTTTCTTCCATTGATGCGAACCACGAATGCGCAGTAGCATTAGAAAAGTGCCATTTGCTGCTATCGTCAGCACCACAACGTCCCCCGTCCAACATGCCAAACGTATTATTACGTTGGCCACTGTTCTAGGACGATAAGTTGACCGTACATATTTCTGTTTGCGAGGTCCTTCAATTTAATTAGGACCAACATGTTATATCTCTCTCTGTCGTAGAGTAAGACGAACTAGAACGCGGCAGATTGTGATAAGCGGCCATTAAATAGGAGGGGAGTTAATGTCGTCTTAAAAAGGTAGGCAAAAAAAGCTATGGTCGCTTAACCGGCTAGCTTTAGCACTTTAGTAGGACTGCATAATGGGGTATGATTCATTTAGATATGTCGGCGTAACGTCTGCTTGTGCTGCCAGGTGTAGCTTATAATGTATATACGTAAACTGGTAAAGAAATTCTCCGAAGCGAAGACGTTAGGCGATTCCAATCGCACTATGTTTTCGTTCAGATATTTGGTAAAACAGGAAACATTGGTGAGGGCATGAGATCATAAATGTGAACAATATTGTCTTCCAGGCCAATGCGTCAGTGACAGATTACAAAGAAGTGCAAGCTTCGTCTGGTCCGTGCGGCTCGCATGTTCAAAGGCCCGAATGCAAAATGGACCTGAATATATTTTGTGACAAGGCGTACTTGTGACGGCTTCTGGCTGTTGCGCAACCTTTGCAGATCTAAAGCGTGTATATATATTAGCAACGCTGAACAATATTTTAGCCGAAAGCAAGAGGAGGCCTATATAGTATCATGCCTGTATTTAATATGGGCCTGAGCACGGCCGCTATCTGCCGCTTGCCTCCTTCTTCCTCCTAAAAAAGCTACGCTATAGAATAGCAGTCTGATTTAGAATATTACATAAATCGTCCAAATCACAAGCAATTGTCGTTTATGCATTCTACTGACTTTGCGTTTTTATCCTGGTTAGCTGTCAACGGGTTGCCCATGTCACATATCGCCATATGTAGGGGGCTATATGGACACAACTGCAATCGCCATTATTATCAACAGCCAAGCTAAGGCTCGGTCGAATATTTACATTACATTTCGGCCATTGCGCACTACGCATGTTTTCATACATACGTAAGCACGCTTGCCTTGGCTTCCTGTCGACTGGGGCTCGTCACCCAGTCTGACCTACTATACGAAAGCTTCACTGCATTGAAGAAATATGCTGTACCCCAGCTGTCTGACGTCATGCGGCCCATCATGGATTCTAGTGTGTTAGACTCGTTTGCCGACGGAAAAGAAGCGTGATAATAACAATGACGCTTGTAATACTAGCGCAATATGTAATTGTTATGTTGTGATCATCACAAAAGTCTACCTTGTCGTCTCCGCTTTCCGACTAAACACGTAAATACTAGCTGAACAGCGTGACGTGTGATATTATTCCCTACGTAACTGAAGACGAATGTGTGCGTGGAAAAGGCAACTCGTTATCACAAAGGAAGATTTTCTGTATGATGTTGATCAATGGTCAAGGAAGTCAGTCCAAGTGTCGTTTCCATAAGCACGTAAAGCAGACGTCAGTCCGCCATGAGTATCAGCACTGAGCTCGGATCACACATGTTTTGCAGTGCGATCTTATTATGCTATTTTTTGCTCACCGTAATACTGAGTACTTTCGGTAAAGTTTAAGCAGTGGGTACTACCGTACATCTCTGAGTGGTGATTATAAGGTATTATTTTACTCGCGATTTTCTCTAGACATCAACAGTCTTCGAGAAGCGGTTTCATCGATCGAGACAAGTATACCATTTGGCAATGACGGCAACCAAGCATTATCTAGAAACGCCACTGTGTGTATCCGACGGGCCTGATACTCCCCGAGGTTTCTATAGCAATCCTGTTTAAAGTTCGATATAAACTAGTTGCTCGTACTTTAATTACCGGATCATTAGCCCATTAAACTTTCTGCGTATTGAATGTCTGAATAATGTGCAGCTGAAATGTACGTTATGCAGAGAGTGGTAAGGCTAGTGAACTAGGGCACGACCCGACCCTGGGCACCGATTCTAACATTATCAATAAACTGAAACTTTTTCAAATTCACGCATTTAGATGTTAACACACTGCTAAACAAAAGCTGTACGTTATGAGAAACAGTAATAACATGGTTAGGAATGGGCTATTTTTATCGGGCATGGTTGGAATAGAGGTATCGGTAAGAGAAATGTCTATAGTAACTGTTTCTTGTTTTTATTTTCAAAATTACAAAGTGTCGTTTTTTTGTTTTTATCATAATTATTGATTTCCATTTTATGTGAACCATGCTTCTTGCAAGTTAAATGATTATTAATGTTTTTCAGAGAACTGCGGCTTCAGTAATATATATGTCCCATTGTCAGACAATGGACGGTTGAGCTGTCGTGTCCTTGGTTATTAATGATCACTTTCAATAACCACAACAAACTGAGCGTGAGATGAGACCGGTACGGGCGATTGTTCTCGGGTGAGAACATATTTTAGGGTCCAATAACTTTATACGACTGATGCTGTACGTGACATTGTTTTGAGCTGGTTTTGTTATCCCGAGAAAGTCCAATATTAGACTATGAAAAGGTTGCCAGTCGCTGATACGTTGTCACTAGCTGAAAGAGAAAATGCTGGAGGAGCAAACAACAGTCTGAAATTTCCATGTTCTGAAATTACCATATGCCCCAAGACCTCGCCCACTTAGTGAAGTTTCCTTCTTCGAACCAACAGCCGCCTACATCGTTTTGTGCGTTTCCCATAAATTCTCTTTCATATTTAAGTATGTACACATATGTCTAAGATATATCACTATCCCTTGCATAAATTACACAATTTCCATTTAAGATGCTTGGACTGGGTGACTCCACGAACGCGTTGTTATTAGAGAAAACCGTGGATTGAACCATACATGCGGACTGGGGTCGATCTAAATCAACACAAAGATGTCCCCTATCAACATAGATTTAAAATTTATTACAGTACTGTGGCACTAGCGATGAGCCCATCTCCGGTTCATGTCGGCCGCGAGATTCAAAACCTTTATATAAGTCAAAAATGTACACAATTCACAGATAAAAGCAGCTGTGTGGTTTTCTGGGTCAAGCTTATATTACA